AATCATACAGTCCCTCGGGTAACCCAGTTCCAAGCCATGTAGGACTGTAAAAGTGACAACCAGAATCTTGAATTGAACCTGGAAACACACCAGTAGCCAATGCAACTCGTAGTAGTGATGTTACATGTGCTGTACATCCAACACCATTTGCTACAGACAACTAATGATCACAGTTGGAACCAGAATTTCTATTGCTAAGGAAGGCAGTTATTAAGTGAATCGTGCCTGATTTACAATTTTTTTTTGCCACAGTTCTTAAGTGAATCATTAAGTCATTAAGCAAATTCAGCTTCACTCCATAGATTTTGCTTGGTGAAAGCTGGTTGGAAGGTGACAGATGGCAATCAGATGATCCCAGGACACTGCAGCCATTGTAAATAAATGCTGATTGCCAACTGCTCAAATTTTGATCATGTGATCAAAAGAGCGGATGATGCGATGGCTGTAAGTGTGAGGACTAATTTTTCAGTGCCGTTGCAATTTTGAACTGTTGCTAAAAATTGGTTGTAAATAAATATAATATTTACCTTTTATATCTTTTGAGGTCTTGTATTAAATAACACTACAGCTTTGTGTGTAGCAAGCCTGTTTCTCTACCTTTGCTAAAGAGATATTTCTATTCAGGTTGATATTATTCAGAGAAATAGCCCAGTCTGATGTTGAGTTGAAATTGAGATCAGTCACATGAAATCAAGCTGGCAAAAGCTAAGGTAGACTATGTCCTGTTAAGGAAATTCCAACATTTCCCTGTTTCAGATGTGAGTGAATTCATGAAGACAACTTGTAAATGCGTCCTCCGTGTATGATTTTACTTCTGTAACAAAACTGAGGTAGTGACGAAGGAAATTCTGACATAGTATTTATGAGTTAAATATGTTTAACAAAATGTACAGATTTGTTGAATCTAAATGAGAAAATATATATGTAGTAACTTTCCAGGACTGATCAGTGGCTTATATCAAACTTATGGTATATATATATGTTAACAGAAGTTACTGTTTATAGTACTTTCATACTGCAATAGTTTGATTTGCACTTGGAGAGATGGGGAAAGAGTGGATGCCTGTATGATTCATTCTTTCTTGTCTTCAACTTTACCAGGGATATATTATTCTAGACAGCTCTCTTATGTTATTTGTTTGTTTGTTTATTCAATTTCTATAGACCCCATCCCCAATCTCAGCCAAGTGACTCTGGGCAGTTTACAGTTCTAAACCACAGTTAAGACAAAAATAATTAAAACAGTAAAAACATCCAAAAATAAATTCATACAACAAAGATACCGAACCAATTTACAATAAGTGCATGAAGCATTGTAGTAATCCAGATGAGAGGCTATAAGGGTATGGCTGACAGGGAACAGAGCTTCCTAGTACAGGAATGGGCAGAATTAGTGCATCGCCCAAAGATGTGGCATGGTTCTTCTACCCATGCTTGCCATCTTCTCTTTGAGCATGAATTAGGTTTTGTAGCAGGAAATGGCGGGCGATACTTCCGGCCTTTGTTAGTGCATCTGGGCACAGGACCCTGCCCCGAGATACTAGCCTGCACCTAGCCGCCACCTCTTTTTCAGCACAAGAAATCTGCAGCCGCCGCTGCTTTTTCAGCGTGGGAAGCCTGCAGCTGCTGCTTTTTCAATGCGGGTATTGTGGTCCACCAGCAGCCTGAGGAGCTGGCAGCAGAGTCAGACAGTGAGGAAACTGGGGAGGAACATGGGCCAGTCCTGGAGTCTGGGGAAGGCTCGGACAAGGACTCTGCGTCGGAGGCAGAGAAAGGGTCATCTGGGAGGTACGTGCTGCCTCCGGAACCTCCAGAGTCAGACCTCAGTGAAGTTGTCAAGTCCTACTGGAGCTCGCCATTGATGGTGGGGCGGTCTGGGAAGCCCTGACTTTGAACCAAACAACCGACTTGTACTTTACTTTTGACTGTGAATCTGCAAAAACCCGGAGTAAACTTTGAATCTCAGTTCTGCTTGTGGTGATTTATTACGTTCGCAGTTCAGGACGAAAGACAAGCTGAGAGAGGTAGAGGAACAGGGGGAGCTTCTTCCCAATGCGCTGCCAGAAGGCAAGAACAGTTAAAACAAAAGGGACGACTCGGGAGTAGGGCTTGGAGATGATTGGCCCGTCCCATAAGACTTAAAAGAGGAGCAAAGGCACATGGGCCTTTGCAGGAAGCAATATTGTTAATTCTGTGCAGTTTAAAAGCTGAAGCTGTGTTTGATTTTGGACTACGTGTGGCTTTGCCAATTAGGTCTTTGGCAGTGTGTCAAGGGAGATAAAGGTGGGTGATTATCAGCTTTATCCCGAAGGATTCTTTACAACTATTTGGGACTCTTCTGTGAATGAACAGAATTCACAGCTGTTAAAATAAAACAGGTTTTTGGGACTACTCGTGTGTTTTGCTGACTCGGAAGCTTAGGTCAGAACAGCGAGAAACCTGCAACCACTACTCTTTGCCAGCGTGAGAAGCCTCCAGCCACTGGTGTTTTTCAGCGTGAGAAGCCTGCAACTACCACTCTTTTCTGGCGTGAAGGGTCTGCAGCTGCTGCCTCTTTGCTGGCCAGAACCAAGCTGGCAGCAGCAGCTGCAGGCATCTCGTGCTGGCAAAGACCGGTGGCTGCAGGCTTCTTGCGCCGGCAAAGACCGGCGGCTGCAGGCTTCTCAGTGGGGGAGGGGGATATGGCGAGGTTCAGCCGCCTTTCAGGCCCTGCTCCGGGCTGCCGCCTGTAGGACCTCATCCCCCATCCAGCCCACGACAAGGGGATATGCCGCTTCCAGGCCAGCCCGGCTGGCGGATGGGTGAGCGGGCAGCCTTTGGGGGTGGCATTTTCTCTCAGGTCTCCCACCCAGAAAGCCCCTGGAAGCTGAAGCTGGGTCCGAAAGGCAGCTAAGCCTCGCCATGTGTGTCCCCTCACTGAGGCGGTCCTTCGGCTGAGTGCAGCAAGCCCAGAGCAGATCTTCCTTCCCCGCCATCAGCCTTACCTTCTAGCCCATGGGGCTCACACCGTTCTCACAGCAACATCCCGGCATGTGGGTGGAGAACCCGGGGAAGGCCAGAGCCAGTCCCTGGCTCGTCCCCTGACCGAAGGGGAAGGGCGAGTTGGTGGCATGCAGGCAGAGGTCCTGGGGAAGGCCAGAGCCAGGGACTGGTACATCCCCCGACTCGAGGAGACGGGCAAGTGGGTGGCATGCAGGCAGAGGCCCTGGGGAAGGCCAGAGCCAGGGATTGGTGTGTCCCCCGAGCCAAAGGGCAAGTGGCTGCCTTGTGGATGGAGGCCCAGGGGAAGGCCAGAGCCAGGGACTGGCGCGTCCCCCAACCCAAGGCAATGGGCGAATGGGTGGCTTGCAGGCAGAAGGATGGCAAGAGCCAGGCCCTGAAAGGCGGCTGAGCCTTGCTGTTTCCATTCTGAGGCGGCCCTTCGACCAAGCACCGTATATTCATGGCAGCCATGGTGAGCAGAGCGGACAAGGCGCGGTAATCAGCTGGGCCACATGGCTGGGCAAGTGAGCACAACTCTAGACAGAGAGTAGCTGGGCGCGGGCGTGACTCTAGCCACCGGCCATGGTGGGCAAGGCGAGATAGGGTGGGGCCGGGCAGGGTGGGCAGGACCAGCCAGTGTGGGATTTGCCAATTCGCCGAACTGCGCAGAATCTTAACAACTGGTTCGCCCGAACTAGCCCAAACCAGCTGAAGCCCCCCTCTGCTTCCCTCCTCTCAGACCCCAGAGGAAATAAAAGATAGCACAGTGCAGTGCCTCAATTAAGAGACAGATTTATGACATTCTATAATTAATATATTCATTGCTATAAGATCTGGTGAAATCTACTAATTTAGATACTCAGTTATTTTAGTTGGGTCATTGACCAGCAAAACAAAACAAAAATGGCCCCATTGATTAGAGTAAAGCATGTTATAAAATCATAAAGCAATACAGACAAAAATGTATGCTGAAATTGAAGATAAAAGTAAAACAAACAAAGTTTTATAAATCAGGCTTTCCCTTACTGAGGCTATAAATTCCAGAGTTTCCTAGTTAGCAAATTAATTTGGGATTCAGATAATTAAATAAGGTTTCCATGTTAAGAGATTGTATGCCTCTCATGACCAAAAATGAGGATTGGTTTCACAAGAAAACCTATCACATACTTTAAAAAAAAAAAAAAAATTCAATGTGTTTGGCAATCAGAAGGACCATTGAAATACTTTAGTGGTAGTGTCTATATTTTAATCTTGTATGCCTTTCCAGATAAATTCCATTGTTGCTTAGGATGAAGCTAGGAAAAGAAACAGTCAGTTTCAAATATCCTGACTGCACTATTTGCAGTCTCTAAGATGTCTTTTTTTAATAAAAGAAATTTCTGACCCTGCAATGGGAAAGGCAAAACTTCCCTAAACCTTCAAAACTTACAGTCAAACTAATTCTAAAACAAAGTGGAGTAAATTTTATGCCTGTGTTAACTGAAAAACATTCGAAGTTGCACTTCTCCTTAAAAGCAAGAATGAAGCGACCGTGTTGATTTTGTCTCATTTAAAAAAATAAATAAATAAATTGCTCTGAAGGGAGAATTATTTCCATATATGGAATAGAAATTTGAAAAATGAGTTCCCGGATCCAGTAATTTAAGGAGCAAAACTCAAAGATAGATTTAGAGCTGGAGAGCAAGTCTATTTATTGTAGTAAAATGAATAAATATTGTGGATTTTACTCTGCATTCCAATAATGACTTCATAGTTTTTTCTCTCCAACTTCTGATCTTTCTTCCCTTTTCTGTGTCTCATTTTCATTCCACTTTAAAAATCCTCAATCCTGTCCTCATAACTTTTCCATATCTTAAACCTGTATTTTTAACGTATACATAATAATGACTGTTAATGAGCTGCACACATAATTTTGCTTTAGAAATATGTCTTGCAAAATACCCATATTATTAGTTGATGGAGACTTTCTTCCCAGTAAGTTTGGCTCCCTCTTCCCCCTTTTTTTTTTCTTAACATACCACTCTTCCTGTAGATATGCAAAGAATTCCAGTTTGAGGGTTTGAAAAGACTTGCATTACATTACTGTAGTTCTTGGCAAACTCTTCTGCTATTTTAATTTTAACCAATTAAAAGAGACATTTTTTTCTTCTTTCTTTTTTTACTTCTGAAGTATATTAAAAGATATCACATTCAAAGACTGGCCATGCACTCAATTAATTACTGGTGTCCAGCGAAAGGTCTACCAGTAGCTATCACCATGACAACCTTTGGGAGACCTCTGCCCACCTGTTGCATGATAGAAACCGCATTAGGCAGTTGGTTCCTGCATTAGGCCTCCTTTTTGGCCTGTGGGGAATTTGTACTAATTAGAATTAGTTGTCCTTCTGTAGTCCAACTCCTGACACAAATTGCATTCTGTAGCTTTTTGTTCCACTCGAGTTCACAGACAAAATAGCCTGTGCCATGTTTGAAATGAAGCAAGCCAATATGAAAGGATTTCACATAATTGGTTAATATACTTTAACATTTTAACTAATATCCTCCGTCTTGGCTTCTTGCGAAAGAAATATTGTTTTCTTTCTTTCTTTCTTTTAAATTTCTTTCTTTTCTTTGGCCGGATAATTATTTATGATCGCATACAGAGGGTAATTTTAATGCTGCTTGTTGAGGTGTCGTTAAATCATGGTCAGGCTCAACTGCATTGGAACAAAACAAGTGACCTTTAAAAACGATAGTTTGAAAATGGGCCCTGTGGTGATGGGAACGGTAAAAGTACAAATTGTGGCGTGGTGAAGAAAATAAAAGCTCTGGCACGCATATCAGGAGAATATCACTTTATTTATTGAAGCCAATAAAAAAGTCGCAAGAAAGTGCAGTGACTAAGCAGTCCGGTTAAGAGGAAAGATATCTGAAACACATACAAGGAGAAAACAGAGAGGTGGCTTCACGAAGGCCCAATGCAGACAAAATATTTAAAACCAAGATTCTTTTTTCATTTAAGATATCTTAAGTTTTACATCTGAATCACTAAGCCACCGTCAACAATCCCAAATGGATTTGAGAACCGACGTTTATATTGACCACAACTAACCAAGGTTTTCCAAAGTCTTTTTATAAAGCACATCAGGCTAAAATTGACATTAGGATGCATTTGTAATTTTTAAAATAATAGGATAATACTTCAGTGATCAAACTTAGGCAAGACTATAGGTACAGATAAGCAGCAAAAGGCTTGTTTCCAGATACTTAAGCTCTGGAAATAATGGGACCAGCATAGCTACCAGTACATGATGCTAATGAAGAGGAGAAGACCCATATTGTCAATGAATTCACCATCTATTAGTCAGTTGATGGTCTACCATGCTACTTTTTGCTGTGAGACGCCAATAAAATAGATTTTTTTTCCCAATAATACTGCATTTATGGTCAGAAACAGGCATGGAGCCATTCTCTTTAAATGGTGACACCTCTTTTGAAGAAGGTAATTTCAGCTGATTTTTTATGGTTACTGTACAGTACTGTGAAGCAGGGATATCATTGGAACCAAACAATTGATAATTATTTCTATGACTATGTTTTCTATGACTGATATATATATTTTAGCAGCTTGAGTTTTGTAGAGTACTAAAAGATGTAGAATAAAATGTTTCAAATAAATGCATCTCATATATAAAATCCAGTCTAATTACTTGTATTATGGCTCTGTTTTAGACTAACCTAGATAGAATTCTGTGTCTAAAGCTCTTTAGAAAAAAGACAAACATGTGGAAAGAAAGATATATAAAATAATGTATGTTATTGAAAAGAGAGACATTCTTCTCCCTCCTCTCCTTAATTCTCAAAATGAGAATTTGAGGAGACTAAAAATTGATACTTGAATGGCTTTACAGAGTGAATATGCATGGAATATTAGGCTATCAATGGTTGCTTTGCAGCATAGTTAAATACTATCTTCGAATCAGAGACATCTTGCCTCTCAGTACCATTTATTGGGGAAAATATTGGAAGAGGCCATTCTTTTATTATTTACAATATTTATCTGTTGGTAATTGTGGGAAAGGTTGCTAGATTAGACAGGGTTTGGGCTTTAGAAAATACTCTGAAGACACTCTACCCATTTTAATGCATAGACAAAATGGTTAACAGATATCTTCTCCAAACCATATTAATATGATAAATAAATAAATACTGACATGCATGGGACAAATTAAGATAAGTAAATAATGTAATCTTGATACATCTTAAAGACAATTTATTGTAGCATTAGCAACGTTTATTAGCATCTATTATCAGATGTCTGAAACAGAACAGAACAGAACAAAACAGATTAGAATAGAAAATAGAATAACAGAGTTGGAAGGGACCTTGGAGGACTTTTAGTCCAACTCCCTGCTCAGGCAGGAAACCTATACCATTTCACACAAATGGTTGTCCAAACTCTTCTTTAAAACACACTCTCTCTCTCCCTCTCTCCCTCTCTCTCTCTCTTTCGTTCCCTTCCTCCTTCTCCTGACAAAAAACCCACACCCAGATATATGAGTGTATTTCCATATAAATACACACACACACACACACACAACTCCATAGATTTAGAAGTGGAACAGGGTACACAATGACAGGAAATAATTTTAAAAGGAACATTAAAGATGGTGACAATAATAATGAAGCTTAATATATAGAGATTAAATACTGTAAATATTCATATAGGTGCTGGTGGAAAACATTTAAGCTATATAATCTTGGTACTGGCATTATGATTTGATGGATAATAATATTTAATCACTGCTTTTATTTCAGAAACTGCTACATGTTTCATTTTAGTTGAACAAAGTACATATTTTCTCACTCCCATGTTCTGAAAGTTGAATTGCCAAGTCTATGCAAAGGTTTGAACTACAACATTAATTCTAGTTGAACAGGAGAGCAAGATATTTATACTGATGTACTTAGGTGGTACTTATACCAGTTCTAGCTGAGGATTAAATTTTCACTTTGTTCCTTCCTATGCAAGAACTACTTGAAAAGCAATAAGGTATAGAATTCAAAATGAGGCCACAAAAATATAAGATATAAAACAGATGAAATCCATAACACTGAAGTGAGTTCCAAGGGCATATTTCTATACATGAAGTGGTTTCATGCAAGTCAACTCATCTTTCATTAGTAGCTTGCCCTCAATATTCATAGCTAAGTAAAAGTATGATTCATAGCATTCAAGATCTTATGAAGCAGATGAAATTGTTGTCTCATTACAAACTTGGCATCAAAACTTGTTAATAGTTTCAAAACATATTAGTCACTCAAAGATACAAAATGTATTAGCATGCCAACAATTTGCTGGAACTGTACAGCTGAAATCCTAAACCTTTTTCGGGCCCAATGATCTTACACCTTACCTTAAATTAATGTATTTAAACTTAATTTATAAGACTGCATACATAGCCAGTTCCATCAGATCCCAATGAAACATGGCTGAAGCTACTGTACGTGTTTGTAGACCTAAAATGGTGATGCCATCCTAAAAAAATCCTTCAAGGAAATTATGAAATAATAAGTTGGAACTATCTATGTGCAGTCTGCCCTACAATCCTATAAATATTGTTGCTACTTTCTCATATATTTAATGAGGAGTCATATTTCTTATATGACTTCAGTTTAGGATTCTTCAGATTTGTTTGATTCATTGATAATTTCTTCTAATAAGATGATAAAATGTGAACTTTTGTTACCATTCAGTATTATTTAACTTTCTTTACAGGATTCTTAATACTTGGAGTGGATAAGGTTTTAGAGGCTAATACAGTTTGGTAACTTGATTCAAAAAAGCCTGAAAGTCTGCGCAAAGAAGCATGAAAATCATTTGTCAAAATTGTATGAATTTGTAATTCATAATTGGCATGAGGCAATTTGAAGAAATAGTTTTCTGCTGCTGACACTGCTGTCAAAATAAATGTGGGGAAGATAATTATAGTAATTAACAAAATAGATAATTGCACTTTGTCATGGGATAAGGTACATTTTTGATTTCTGATTAGGAGCAGATCAATAGTAAATGAAATGCTATGCTATTCATATCTGATTAATATATCCTTGTACAGAAATGAGTATCAGTTTTTCAAAGACAGTAGAAGCTACAAGCAACCATTTTATTGACAGCCAGTCTCTGCAAAATTAACCCTTATAACATGTATATTCAATTGTGCTGCAAAAAAAAAAATCCTTAAATTCTCTTTTATTATTTCTCACATAACTTTGATTTATATTAACACATCCTCGGTTCCTTTATGGGGATTTGGGGGATTTGGGGGATTTTTTGTTTGTTTTGTTTTGAGATCAGTTGTAGCATTTCAGATTCTTCCCTACATTGAAAAAATTGTTTGTTTCTTTGTTGGTTTTTTATTCCATTCTGATCAACATCGATTCTGAACAATACTTCAAGTTCATGGTATGCTCCTCTTTTTCTCCCTATCATAATTTAGCTTGCTTCTTTGTCCAAAATTGTCCAAGGAGGTAATTTCTATTATATCTGAACTGATTATCTGTCCTTGTACAAATGTTTGTAATAGCCTAAAGGCCATGAATAGATCATAATTTGAAAATGAAATTTTCTAAGCGGTAATCTTAGTTTTTCACAAGAAGAAGAAAAAAATATCCTCAGATTTTTAAATATAGGTGGAAATTGGAAGCTGTATATAAGTGTGACTCAGTATATTCAAGCATCTTCATCTAAATGCAATCAGTTACTAACCCTAACCCTTGACACCTGGCTCTCAGTTATGACATTACAGTAGCCAGCTGTCACATAATCACCGTTTGCAACCTTATTGGGCAGTAAAGCCAGCAGAAGATTGCAAAGCTGCAAATGAAGTGCCAAAATTTCCACAAGTAAGCAGTATGATCATATGACATTGAGCGTCATGACCACATCACTTAGTGACAGAAATTTTGTCCCAATTATATTTTAAGTGAGGACTACCTGTACTAGAGTATTTGACTTCTGCACTGGCAGGAACTAGGGGATCTCTCCACTTCCATGATCCTATGAAAATAAACTGAGAAAAAATGTCAAGAGGGCCAAATCTCTTTATAGTCTTGGCGACTATGTAAAACCACAATGGTTTAGGCTCAGCTAAAATGCATTCCATAATTAAATCCAGAAAAAAAGCCAGCATGGCTGTTTAGTACTTTCTAGGAAGTTGCAAAAG